TTTTTTTTCTTCTTTTTTTATTACAAATTCCCCATCTCACCGCCATCAGATCTGGGAGCTCGTCATGAAGCAGGTCCTTCAGCTCGCTCTTCTTCAGTTTATGTTTGTCTCCTTCTCTCTCCGAATACTTCTGAAACACAGCGAGGATGGTGGCCATCGAGGTCTCCAGGTCAGTCATCGTCACCTGTCTGTTAAACCTCGAAAAGTAAAGTAAATAAAAGCGTTAATCTTAAGACCATTTTGGGAGATTCAAAGAGAGTTAGATCACTTTTATTTATTTTTTTTGAAATTATATATATTTTTAAATATATATAATATATAAATATGAAGTCGCTGAATTATTTTCTTATATATTATATAAATTATATTCTGATGAACTTAAAAGTATTGATTTATGATTCCTGAAAAAAACACAAGTAAAAGTACTTAAATAACACTAATCCACATAATACCAAGGGTTGTTCTTTTTAGCATTTCTAGAATTTGGGAGTGGACCACATTTATTAACATGTGGAAAGTACAAGGATTGGCTCTGTATGACTTTATTTGACATCTTTTTTTCTGACCATTTGGCAAAGAAAGGTGGTCATTATGCTTGAGTAAATGGACCACAGTTAAAGCCTGTGCAGGTTCTCAGTTGTGCAGGTTCATGGTAGCTTAAGTGCTTGAAATGAAGGCAGATGAACTTCATTTTAGGATTGTGGAGAGGTGAAATGTCTTGACGAATCAAAAAGAAGTCAACTTGCCTTCATTTGAAGCACTTAACCACAGTTAAGAAAACTTTTTTTACTCACGTGCTGATGATTTTCCTTTGCGGATATAAAAGAATCGGACTCCATAATTAACAGAGAGACTTAAATTAATTAGTTTTACCAGCATTACAGAGCAAAAAATGCCCCGCTTTAGCCTTAAATGCCGGGCAGTATTGATACGGTAACGAATCCTTCTTAATTTTAGATTTTCTCTTTGTGTTTAACAAGTCCTTGAAAAAAGTCATGAAACTTACTAGAAATAGCTTTTGTCTCTTTGCTGCGACATAAAATACAAAAAACAAAGACTTACTGTTGTGCGAGTGCAGGCAGAAGTCCAGAGAGCAGAGGCTGAGGATGGGCTGCAGTCTTTATACTGGACCAGTATGTGGGTGGGGGTGTGAGGAGGTGCAGGTCTGAGGTCAGTTAACCTGTCATTCAAAGTGCTGACCAATCCCAAGTGTCCACCTCTCCTCACTCCACTGCAGCCCTGCAGGAACCAGCACTGACTCTGCAAACTTTAAAATAAGAGAGCAGATTAATTTCGTGGCCTATTTTCATGACTTCTGATGTCGTCACTCAGTAATCTCCACACTGCCCTTCTGTATGTCCTCCTTGTCTGAAGTCTTCCTCTTTTTTTCATACTTTACCTTCAACTTCCTTTGTCCAGTACATCCATCCCTCCTCTAACATGTCCAAACCATCGCAGCCTTGCCTCTCTAACTTTGTGTCCAAACTGCTCCACCTGAGCTGTCCCTCTGATGTACTCATTTCAATTCCTGTCCATCCTGGTCACTTCCAATTAAATATTAACATTTCCTGTTTTTTTTTCCAGTGCCACTATCTCATAGCCATGCATCTTAGCTGGTCTCACTACCATCTTGTAAAGTTTGCCTTTCACTCTCTATGCAAACCTTCTGTCTCAAATCATCGCTGACGCCTGTCGCCACCCACTCTAACCTCCAGCCGGTTAGCTCAGCTGGTTAACTCCAAGGTCCAAACCTCATACTGGCTAATAATAATGGATTGCATTTATATAGTGCTTTTCGAGAACCTCAAAGCGCTGTACAATTCCACTATTCATTCACTCTCACACACTGGTGGAGGCAGCTACAGTTGTGGCCACAGCTGCCCAGGGGCAGACTGACAGAAGCGAGGCTGCCATATCGCACTATCGGCCCCTCTGGCCATCACCAGTAGGACACAATGACCGAGACTGTCCAAGCTGGGACTCGAACCGGCAACCTTCTTACAAGACGAACTTCCAACTCTTGAGCCACGATCGCCCTAGTGAGAAGGAAGAACATGTGGTATTGTGCGGTTAAGTGTACATCCAAGAAGTTTGTGCGTCAGTTTTGAGTGAAAGTAGCCCATCGCTTAGCACTAATTTGTTAATTACTTAACAAGCTACACTTGCTAGAGTTAGCTGATAATGTAGCACTCTATCTTCTAAACATGGCAACTCTGGCTCCAAACAAAACAGCATGGCGGTGGCTAGCCTCAACTGTTGAAGCCTGAAAATGCCAGAAACCAGCAGATGACATCTCTGTGACCTGGTCCAGTCCTGGTGTTTATATGTGGTTAAATGATTAAACACACAAAAATTTATTTGAGTTATTAATATGCCATGTTGGTTAAACCGAGGAGCGTAAAACTGAAATTTATTTACCAAACACCTCAGGACTAATTAAGATTAACTGAGATAAACAGACAAAGTGCCAAACCTCTCCCTCTGTGGCCCTCTCTCTGTTCATAATGGCTCGTATAGCATCCATCTATGTTCTTCTTTCTGCCTCTTTTCGCTGTGTTTGGGCATCTGCTGGGTGACAAAGGCCTGTTTCACAGGAAGCGGCTGGCTGTGCATGTTAATGAAGACGCTCTTTTCACTGCTTAAGTTGGCCAGACGTGTGCCCTCTGCAGCCCAATGAGGGCTCACAAACAGCACATCTGCTCCAGCCAAATAAGCTGAAGTTGACGCTGAAGTCTCGGTGCCAACATTTTACCCCTAAATGCTATAAACAAACATTTCAGGGGTGTACAGAAAACAAATAATTAGTCAGCATCTACACTTTCAGTGCATTGATTTTGGATGTTCAGCCAGGTGGGACTTTGCCTGGTAATAAATAAGGTTTAATACCACAGCTTAGAGTATCTCCATGTGGCCTAATGGACAGGGCGTTTGACTTCAGCTCAAAAGTCTGATGGTTTATGTCCCTTAGTGATTCTGTTCACACAGCCATACGGATCAGTTTGTCTCTAAGCAGAGGCTGCTGGGGTTGGGAAGCCGTTAGCTATATTCAAGGCTGAGATTTCTGTTTTCTTTACAAATAAAATAACCAAAAACTAATCTGTTTTTTAATGATGACTTCAGTTCAAGTGGGGACAAACGCTAGACAAACCCACCACTTTCCAGGTGGTTCAGCTAAAATAAAAAAAACCAAAACCTCGCATACAGTGTGTTTTTGAAGGGGAAACTGTCTATGCTGAGCAAGGAATGGCAGATTGAGTTTGGATGTTGTCAGGTAGGACTATGCCCCATTATAAATAAGGTGCAGCTGAACTGTATGAGCATATGGCTTAATGGAGAAGGTGTCTGGCGAGGGGACTTTACAGTGAACCATGACGCCCTTTGTGGTGCTCAAGTGTTTCAAAATGACCTGGTGATTCTGGCATCTTCCATATTTGGTCAAATTAGAAAAAAATCTGTTTTTCTCACTGCATGTTTGGGCTGCATAATTCAGAAGGTTAAGAGCCTGGTGCTACTAATGCCAATGTAATGGGCATGGGCCACATACTGGCCACTTACGATTAAGGCTGTCAGAGATAACATAATTGCCTTAATGATAACGTAGTTATCTTATTAAGTCTTATTTTATTAGTCTTATTAGGTTGACTACCTTACCACTCCTACTCAATTTGCAGCCCCAACATCTTCTCCTCTCCAGAGCATAACTTGACCTCTGAAGTCAAACGCCCTGTCCATTAGGCCACATGGAGATACTCTTGATTAAGGTTTACAAATAAAACAACACAAATCTAAATAGTTCTCGAGTAATGCCCATTGGTTTTGAGATTGACTTGGATATCTCGGCAGATTCTTTATTTGCATGCAACCAAACATGACCGGTCAGTATCAGCAATCACTAGCACTTTGGCTTTTGATTCCTAAGCAGAAACCAGAAAGCTTACAGTAGCAGCAACTTTGTCCAGAGCCTACATATGACAATAAAGTTAGCATTTGAATCTTGACTCTTGCATATTTTTTCATTGCAGTTGTAGAAAACTAGTCAAATGTACTCTTTCAGTGATGAGGATGTGCACATCCTGGACATGGCAGAATGCTGGTTTGAGTGGGGATTTAAGGAAAAAGGGTACGTCTTTCACCATCTTACAATGCTGTGAGTGCAGCCACTCTTTGTGAATGCTACTTATAACCACTGACCAATGGTAGTGCCATTTTGCATATTAAGGATAATGAAACTGAAGTCACAGCCCATTGTCTGTCAGTGGTACTAGTTTTGGCCATTATGCCAATGTACTTTTTATAAGGTTAAGGAAACCTGCAGTCAGCTAAGACTGAAGAAGTCATTTGCATCATTGTGTTTACATGAACTGCATCAGCTTTCTGGGATTTCCTTACCAGGATGACTGAGAATGCATGAAGACTTTTTTGTTATTTAATTGGCTTGAAAGGCACCAGTAGCTTAAGTATACAGTGCACAGGTTCAGGGCTAATTGTAGCTGTCTCTGTGTGTGGCCACGTGGCCCAAGGCGACTGACTTCGGCTCAGAAGGTTAAGGGTTTGAGTCCTTCCATGGTTGCATTAGTTGCTTTCCTTTAACATGAAGATGTTCAGCTTGGTTAGAAGCCATAGTAGGCTCATGGCATTTACAGTGATTACTTTGTAGTGAGGGCACGTATCTGATCACCTGCAATTGAAAACAGCATCCTTTTTCCCTTTGGGCTTTGCTGTCATGGTAGTGTGTCCATTGGGGGTCACCGTTGTGGTTACACTCCACCGGTGCCCACTAAATTTTTGTGACAATTCCTCCCTGAGGAGCTGCTGTCTTGCCTGCTGTTATGTCCTTATGTTTGTCTTGTTATTGGTGGGTCTGCTGCTTCCTTGCTCTCCTGATGGTACTTGACCACTGCTGTATGGTTCTTCTGCTTTTTTCCGCTGACTGACTGCTCCGTATCCAATATTCCTCTGCCCATGTCCAAACAATGCCAACTTCAGCACCCAAACTTTTGAACAATCTGCTTCAGCCTATCAGGATGGCTGAATCAATAGTTTGTTTGAAACAACTTGTTTGTGTATGCAAGCTTTTCATTAAAATTCATCCCAGAAATGTTGGGTTAGATGTAAAACCATATGTTTGACTGTGCTGTAACATGTATACTTATCTAATATACTCTTACTTAATATTTTTTTAAATGTGTTTTTATTTTTTATTTTACTTTTTATGGCAAACAGGTATCCTTTCAGGTATAAGCTCAGTTAGCTTAATCTTTCTGTGGTTGTTCATTTTTAGACATTTATCTTTGTTATTCTATGTTTTATTTTACTTTGTTTTTATTTATTCTGCAACCTCATTGTTGATGAACTCGGCCTTGACATGTTGTGTGGGAGTAGCGGTGAACAACTTGCCCTTTTTCTGGGATTAATAAACAACAACAACAACAACAAACTTTATTTATATAGAACATTTAAAAACCAGTGGTATACCAAAGTGCTTAACATAGGAGAGGGTCAGATAAGTAAAAGAGAAAGATGAAGGCCATGGCAAAGTACCAAACATGCTAGCAGGTTAATGGCATTAAAAACACAGAAACAACAGAAATACATATAAAAGCATAATAGAACATTATGTGTAAAAGACAAAAGAGTCAAGAAAAATTTAAAAATAATTAAAAGAGGTTAAGAATAGAACAAAAGTAGCAACAAGCATTAAACTAACTAACTAACAAGCATTAACTGGTGAAGAAGAGTAGAGTTAAGACCAAAGTAAACGGAGTTGCAATAATCCAACCTAGATGTCACGAAGGTGTGGATAAGCTTTTCCAGGTCCCTGTGCAGGAAATAATGTCTGGCCTTGCAAATAAGACGCAATTGATCAAAGCAAGATTTGACAACAGTAGACACTGGTTTGTCGAATTTAAAAGAGCTGTCCAGTAACACACCCAGGTCACTAACAGTGTCGGTAAGGAAACTGGCAAAAGAACCAAAGGCGTCACGGAGTTGGCCACGAGGGATATTACAGTCAAACACAAGGATTTCAGTTTTCCTGTCATTTAAGATAAGAGAGTTACCTGAGACCTCACGCATACACTCACAAAAACATTGCAAAGACACAATAAAGCTTATCTAAATCTGGATTTTTTCTGTGTGTCA